ATGCTTTCAAAAACAAAAACATAATTAAAGTAGGACTACATGTGCTTATAAAGGCTCAAAAAGGTGTATGGATGCAGAAATTAATGTTTCGGATGAAAATAATACGCTATCTTCACTACTGTAGCATGCGGTCAAAAATTTGATGCGCAACTTATTATCAAATATCTAGGCTACTGAACTATCAAACACCTAGATCTAGATTCTCCTACTTTTACACAATGACTTAGATCTATATCAATTCGTCTTAACCGATGAGTATTTTTTTCAAACATTTGTACACATCTATAGGTTCTATATTATTCTAGAAATTTCTTTAAAGAAAATTCTTTAATAAATACTAGCCCAATATATAAAAAAAAAATCCCAGTCAATGGTTTCTACAGATTTTTAAAAAGTTTATAGCTGGAGCTAAATCTCTTTTAAAAGCAAGTCCGTCCTTTTTTCTACTTCTGCTGGCGACATAAAGTTAATTATTGAACGCATGTTTTGAGAACATTAATAAGATCTAGTGAAAAAATATGTTCAGTGTAAAACAAATTTATTGTAATAAGTTTTACTACTAAAAAACTACGTAGGCCATATGCGTATGCAAAATGTGTGTGGGAAGCTAGAAGTGCTATGAATTTTTTTCAGTTCTGTAGATCTTATATATATCTATATAAACTCTGTATGTCTGCTTTTTCTGTTGTTGCACTCCAAAACACAACAATTTAAAACCTTAATTCCAATCTCTAGTTACACAGTGAATTCTGTAACTCAAAATTACAAACTGGACAGTAAATGTTCCACTTTTCACTCGTTTGTAAAAGCCGCTCTTGCTTTAAAAGCTATAGGGTTACTTCCGAAAACGATAAATAGTGCCCTCACGACGCCATTGTTTTCGGTCTTCAATTCCTCACAGGTCACGTGGTACAGTTCCCGTTCTATAAGTGTAGAATTCTGTGGTCCGAATACAATATATATATATATATACACGGGAGCTTAAACGGACACGTGTCCCAATAAACGCAGCCAAACTTCACCTCTCCCAAGCGCTTTCCTCTTTGATAATGGCATGCGTCAGTCTGACTTATCCATTCCCACGAGTGCTTGCATTTTATGGGAGCACTGCTTGGCCTATTAAAAACAGAAACGTTTAAACATCTCCCTTCCTTCCACCCCTAGTCCCACCCATCGGTGTGATATGATAAGCCCGGTCAACCAATGCCAGCCCTCACTGCCATGTAACAACGAACTGTTTTCTCGGCTGGTCATATGACCAGCGCGGCAGGCATTGGTCAAACTAATTTCACACCTCTAGCTCTTATCCTGCGTCTATGCCCAGATGCGTATCTTATCAGCAACCGATTACGTCGGACTCGCCGGGCAGGCCGCCGAGGTCACTCAGTGTGTACTGTTGGTGTACAGCGCGCGCGCCGGGAAACGTGTGTTTTCGACATGAATACCGCGGGAGTGTGTTAACTGATGATGAAAATAACGCTCTATCCTTCATAGCATTCTATTTATAAAGTGTTACAAACACATATAACCCCCTCTCACAAGCTGATAAGACATTACGAGTAGTTACGCCCATTTGAATAACCTTTCTGGACGCTCTTGTTGTTACGAATGACCTGAGGTTCGAAAAGGGATAATTTAGGTCAATTTCCGAATGTTTTACACTCAAATTGTTCTTTGTACCTGCACAAGGGTATTCAAAACTATTAAACAAGCTCATTTTTTATCAGGTAGTATCATTTCATACAAAATCAAGCTCATTTGAAATATTTTGTATAGAAAAATGGAAGTCTTGTTTCCTGACTATCCTTTCGAGCTCCTCATGTCTAAGTGGGTCAATTTCTTCTATAATTTCATTGGACGAACATCTAGAGCTATCAACTTGGCATGTTTTGAATGAGACGTATGCCTCGATTACGAACCAACGCAGGTGGTTCTAGAAGAAGGCCACAAACGCACACAAACTTAAGCAGACTGACGCGCACACACTTGACCTGCGTGAATGGGGATCCGACTCGGGACCCGAATGACACGTAAGAGGATGCGCGCTGCGCGTGCGCTGAACCAGGAGCTACACTGACTCGGGACCAGAACGCAGGCGAGGTGCCGAAACAGGCTTATCGGGCTACATAAACCCGGCTCCCGCAGGATGAGGGCTAGCCTCCTGCTACCGAGGGCCACTCGAGCACTTTCACAGCCACTGGTCATATTTCATACCCACATCAAGCTGACCATCTGCACTGGTAAAGGCTCACACGAAGAGGGTAACATCTGCCCCCAAATTGCACCCTACTCCCTTTCCTCGCCTGGTGGCAGGGCGTAAAAAGGTTAGAGAGCCGGTGAAACCAAACTTGATAGCTTTGTTTCAAATAAGGACAGGGTTGGCAAAGCATTTTCGGTCTTAGACAGGTAAAACCCCTACGAAGGGAAGGAACTTCTCTTTCCGTTTCCACGTTAGACAGGTCTCAGGTTTCCGTTTTATAAAAGTAATTATCTATATCACACGTTTCCGTTAAGAAAGGTTCGACAGTATATGACTAACTCAAGTCATATGAGTAGCCAAGAAATGTTTAAAAATAAAGGTTGAACAGAAACTGGATCAGATTATTGCCTAATCAAGACAATTGCAGCGTTCTAAGTTGAGCATCAAACATAATAACAATTAATATAGTTGTACAGCATAAAACCATGACGTAAATTGGATGTCGTCAACTATTGATACGGATAAAATTGACAGTAAACGAAGATCACCTCCTAAAGATCCTTTTGAAAAGGGCAAATGACGGTGATATGAAGTGGTTTGGTGCCCAATGCAACGCTTTCTGGGACGGATCTGTAGATGCTCACACTATTACTGTCACTCTTGTTTCGACTCTCCTGTTCAATGCTTCCTCATGATCTCGAAACTAGTATGTTTCTCAAATGTAGGCATACTGTATGTGAACTCATAGAGTTTAACTTAACAAAATAGGAATCATGCTTTAACTTTTTATTTCAGCGACTGTCTTGAAAGATTTCATTCCACAATTTTTTTTATTATTTGCTCTTCTTTCACAACCTCTATTGCGCGCCACGTACATTGTACATAATAAATTGCCAGGTACCAGTCTTTTTGCTGTTGCTGTAAAAACAGTTTAGAGTCAAATTTGGAATACATTGGTTCATTCTGTTAAGAGTTTTAACCAGAATACCGTGATATTTTTCAAATAAACGGCCCGCGCTATGATTACTGCCCAATATACTGCGCAAAAGGAATATTTGTTTACCCAACAATTATTTGCCACCTTGAGAACACGGGCAAAAGGTTAATGTTCTCGTAGGACACCTATCAATTTATCCCCCTCCCCTTTTCCCAACCCCCTCTCTCTCTCTCTCTCTCTCTC